GGACACCTTGAAAGGTAAGATGCTGGTTTTCATCCTTTCATCACTACATTACATGCTGCAAGTTAACAGTAGACTATGACCACCAGTTACTGTCACAATATAACGGTCATTCCTGTGTGCTGCTAAATTAGCAGACTGTCCACTGGTGTACCATTGCCTTGGTTAAATTAAATAGTTTTCTTTCTTCCTCATTTTATAATGCACTTGGAAACTAACTGCTGCTTCTCTGGATTTTGGGTCCATTACTTTTACTCAGTTGCTCCTATTTCAAGTTATAGATGTGCTATTCAGTGCAAATCAGAATCAAAGAACTCAGTCTAACAGACATCTGTTGAAAAGAGACTTTTCTGCTCTATAAAAATGTTCTCAGCTTGGAGTTATGCAGACATTCATTCATGAGACAAGAATAATAGCTTTAATTTCTTGTGATCTTTTCTATTTCCTGTTTAGCAGGCACTTTGAGTGGTAAAATTTGATTCAGCACTTGTTCATCTCTCAGACCCTTGTAAACACACAACTTTGGTCCTATGGGAGCCCGAGCGTGCTCAGAGTGTGTAAAGCATATACGCACTGTGGTGATAGTAAGCTTAGATGCTTACCCCATCAGAGAACAAGTACTGCCTCTTCAGTGATAAGCCCTCCCTTGCTCACAGTGAAACGCTGACACGTCTTAAAGCATTTATACCAAGTTCCTTGAGACACGATCTGGTAGTGCTGGAAAAGCAGCTCTGCTAGAGATCTCAAATTTGCCAAGTATGCACAATGGTTCTCTTGTTCCCTCAGATGTTTGTGTGTGAAATTCAAACGCTAATGGGAGTTTTGTACATGGGTGGCAGGGAAGGGCCCCACTCTCTTTGTGCATCTAAATGAGTGCCACACTTGTCAGAATAGTTGATCCTTTTGCATGCAATTAGATAATTACTGCTGTAATGTCCATTGCTGGCGATGGAAACGTTCGAGACTAATGAATTCAAGTTGTTTTGTCATCCTATGTCTGATCTAACTGGCTATAAGTCAGAAGCATTTACTACTTCACCTGTACAAAAAGAAATTTTGCAGCCAAACTGTACTGTTTCTGGTTTTTAAATAAACACTGCAGAAAATCAAACACAATGTCTTTTTTAACGAGAAAATGGAACACTCGCTCTAGATTCATGTAACCTAAACCTACTAAACATTCACTACAGCCTGTAAATTATCATAGCATCCCATCTACTCGTCATATACACAACACAATTTGTACAGCAGAGCTTCTAAAAGGATGATACCCTTTTGTGCACATCCTCATCAACCAACACATCACCATCAAAGCAGCACAGATCCAAAACATGAATTCACCATGACAGTGCATAAGATTTGGGCAATCTCCGGAGTTCCTTAGCGTGTGTAATGCTCTCTGGCTCAGCACTGCAAATATAATATTTTTTTTTTTACTGTACAATATACAACTTTTTAATGGTTTGTGTGTGTGTGTGTGAAGGTTTAAAACGTATTACAGCTAACTTTATTACAGGAACATAAAATGGTACAGTATTACAACACTTCAATCTACAATCATATGTTTTGGTTAGACAGCACAAGCAAGGTGTGATAAAGTGAGAGCTCCACATGGTGCAGAATCCACACTGCTCATCAGGGCCTGAACAAAGGCAAGTAGCTGCTAATTCTTTTACTCAGTCTATACCACCCTCAGCACTTAATAGTGCTTTACAGACTAGTACAACCACATTTATTACATGTTTACCTGCAACCTATCTTCACCATCCAACCACTTTTTAAAAAAGTGTCAGTTACATCATCTAATACAAAACACGCAACATCTAGAAACTCTCTGAACAGAAGGTTGAACAATATTTTTCTACATTGCACAGACTGCTGTAAAAATAAAGACCAGGTTGCAAATCCTAGAGAGCAGATTAGGTTGCCATAAAGAAAGATTGCAAGTAATTAACATACCCTTTGAATACAAACAAGCTTCACATATTGTGGTTTCTAAAAGCAAAACCATTTTCAAGTGTACTTAGTGACTATCAGTGATTTTAATTCAGTATGTATAAATAGGAATGTAAACTATAAATGTATATAACAGCTTTTAGTAAGTGTAGACTTCTGAGCCAAGTTCAACCTTGATATAAATCTATACTCTCCAGTGGTGCGAAACCTAGGATGAATTTGGCCAGCATGTCTATTTACAGCAATGGAAAAAAGCATGCAGCTTATTTCTGACTGAGACCTTGACTTTATTCAAAAAAGAAACGAACAAAACCCAACCTGTCAGCCTATCAACACACTAAGGAGAATTCATTAGCCTGCATTATATTCTACTTAGTTTTTAAAGTGGACCCAAAGAAGTAGAGGAAGATGTATTTATAGTTATTTCTCCTCCTTCAATTCCCCTGTCCCACAAAAGGTGTGTCAGTAATACTCACTACTGTAACTCTGCACATTGCAGGCTATGGGCAGCAGGAGTATAAGAAAAATAACTGTGAAAAATTAATAATTTAAGAGATACTAAGAGAACATCACCCTCCATTAATATAGAGATCAGGGATTATGATGATTTCCCCACACACACTAATTTTGGGAAATGCTCGGAAGATCAGGACATAATCCAAATCCTAGAGAACTGAACAGCTTATCAAGAAAATGATATCAACTGTCCTTTGAACACTGGTCTACAGAATTTCTAACATGAGACAAAGTGAGAGCACACACTAAATCTCTACTTGCAGTACAAAAGTAACTCCATTCACCTCTACATACATGCATTTTCCATTGCTGAACTTAAGAGTGGCCACTGAATGAATATTATCTATTGCCTGCTAGTTACATAGTCTTTCCATATTTCCCAGTAGCTACGCATCTGTGTGTTCTTCCACCATCTTCCCAGGAGGCTGAAGATACACATCTGCTCAGAATTAGCATTAAACATGGCCTGTGACTAAGATTTAGGAACAGACCCCAATGCTTTAAGCTGAGAAGAATCTGCATAACATATGGAACTGCACCTAGATCAGTAGTCCTCGTGTTTTATGCTGTGAAAAAAATGCCAAAGAACAGGCTTACAAGACCGGTCTTTGAAGCGGGCACATACTACTGCACCAAAAGACATGCTGCTCTTTGTGCCCTTAACTAAAAGGCCACTTAAAGGCTGGTGAGAGAACAGCGACTAGCTGCATGTTCTCCTAAAGCAGTGACCAAAGCAGCTACTATTACTGTAATCTACAGTGCATATTAGTCAGAAGAGGATGGAAGAGTTCTACTGTTAAAATTAGGCCTATCCCCTCATCAGTGTTCTAGTGGATGCAGTATACCCCAGGTAAAAGTTTATGGTAACTTACAGCAACAAAAAGCAAAGCAGCTGAAGGGAAATGAATCAGCAAAGCCAGTAAATACCCAAGAGATGGTCTTGCATATAGGATTCTTAATCTGCACGCAGTTAACCAGAATTTCCCACCACTGCTATATCACTGGTGCAGTTTCACGGGTAGGAGCTACAGCAAGCGTGTTAACAGCTATCAATGCTTCAGCTATTATCTTGTTTAGATCTAGTCTGTGCAGAGGGGGATGTCAACGAGGACAATTTTAAGGTAGATTATTGCCCCAATCCAGTTGCTGCTCACATATACAAGAAGCGAGGAAGCTTTAACTACTTGCTAGCTAATTCACCTGGGCCCGCAGGGTGGTGCCTAGGCCCAACTGCTGTGTTCATTTGACTTAATAAACTAGCCACTTTTCGGAAGATTTAAATCATGCAAGGGACAACAGTGCCTTTCATCCTATCCACCTCGCAAAAGGGCAGGCACAGTCTCCAACTATTCATGGAAAGGGATTTTCAGGCTGCTTAGCTTAGTTCAGCACAAGGAACTATGGAGGACACTTCCAGAGGTGTCAGAAGCTCACTGCGATTATACAACACACAGGTGGACTCAGGAACAGCACCACTGATGGCTCACTCCTAAAGAAATATCAAAAATGCTCAAAACCAGTAAATTTCTCAGCACCTTTTGGGTTGTACTAGCAGAGACAGTAGGACCAGTGAAACTTCACCAATGACAGGCAAAACTACAGAGCAGAACTATATGCTTAAGAGGTACAGATTTATGTCTGAGGTCCTCTCTTTAAGTACACTCAGGTCTTAAGAAGAAAGGTGATGGGGAACTCTTGTTTGGGTGAAAAATTTTAAGAAAAATACTTCCTGTTTTTTTTCTGCATAAGACCACATTTGCTACAAACTAAATATTAGAAAGCACTTCACATAACTGGGCTTTCTGGATCATGATCAACTCATCTTTCAAATAAACTGAAGCTCTTAAATTGGTTAACATAACAGTAACGAAAAGAATAACCAAAGTTCAAGCCACATTGCACAAGAAACATCAGCTATGCCAGTGAATAGGACATGCTTTGTGCTGAATAGCAGAAGCTCTAGTACCCATGCAGTAGTAGAGAACAAACTGAGAAAATCATAGTGTCAGTTTCTAACAAAATTTTTTGTTCCTCATAGCCACCTCCTCCTTAAGGAGAGCCCATCTATTCTGAAGAGGCTAACATGGCCTTCACAACTGAAATCTTAGTACTGAACAAGGAAACAGCAAAGCAAACTTCTTCAGCTGTCTTAACATTGGACCTAAGCCAGACAAGCAGGCAGTTCAGATGCCGTAACTATTGGCTCCTGGGCTTTCCCAGCAAACCTGCAAACCAGAAGGATTGTACAGCATCTGTATATGCTCAGTAGGAATCTAGAGAATGACCAGAACATTTTGCATGTAGCAAAGAGTGACAGCTTTCAGAATATTTGCCTATACATTAAAAAGCGCTAAAAATGTCTTCACACAAGGTAAGAAGAGAATTTTTTATACTTTAACTGAAAAAAAAAAAAGCAAATTGTGCATTTCTTCCACTCTACACTCAAACACTGTTTCCAAATTCCTTAGACTATAAAGGAATGGAGAGAGAACTATAGTTCAGCTGAGGAAGCAAAGACTGTACAATTCCACAAAGGCAGAGTTAGTTGTTAGCAAATTAATAACCTGCCTGTGCTGTGAACTGCTCAAGCAGAAATCATATTCTTCTTTCTGCCAGTGTTACTAGACAACTGCTTCAGAAAAGGGACAGTTAAGATGCAAGCTGCATTACCAGAAGCAAGGGAAGGCACTACTATTTCTAGTAGTAGTAGAAACTATTGGTTTCACTTGTTCTTAGCAATTGCCTCCGTAATCAACAGCTACTGAGAGCAGCAGCTTATGATTGTAAGAGTGCAGTCAGCAGACTGACAGACCTGTTTAAGCAGAGTTTAAATCCAGAGCTTTGGGATGTGCCTTTTTGGATGCCAGCTCTGACAACTTCTTCAGCCGTTTCTTCAGCTCCAGAGGGAATTTCTCATAACACTTCTTGCATACAGGCTTCATGTCAAACTCCACAAACTTATTCCTTTAATACAAAGGCCAGCAGACTATTAAAATGGTATTTGCAAACTATATGCTTCACTTAAATCAAGTCTTCATGCATCTATGTAAATGCTGTTGTCTGTGTTCTACCACATGTATAAAACAACTCGCTTCCTCATCTGGTCATGTAAGTACAGAGATTGGGTTCTTATCAGGGAACTAGGGTCTTCCGTATTGCTGGTTAAATAAGGAGCAAGATTTTGCTATATATTTCTGTGTAACAGTCTATAATAATAATGTTGTTATTGGACAACAAAGTGTCACTTCAAAGGTCCTCTTTGTGATGAATTAAGAGCTCCTTCATACACAAGACCAGTGGGGCCAAACCAGCATAGTAGGATAGAGTTTGAATCTGAGAAAGGAAAAATGTAAATTGCTTTGTTTTCTGTCCCTCTTCTACATATTTGAGGTAACTAGAACATATTTTCTTTCAAAATAATCTACGCAATTGCAAATACTGTCATTGAGGGGAGCATTCATACTAAGGAGGCTGCAGGTATTTCAGGACAGGCAGTTACTCAAGTTTAGAGCCTTCTCTCCATATTGCTGAATGAGTTCTCCTCTTACGCAACCTTCTTACAGAATAGATTAATGAAGGAAAATAAATTGGAGACAATGCTGAGTCCCAGCTCCCTTTCAGTTCTGAAATCAGTGGAATTATAAGCACCTGCTCCCACATAGAAAAGGTATATTGCCCCTCAGAGAGGCACTGACTCAAAGCTCCTCGAAGCTGATACTCTGCCTTAGGGGCAAATGTCTCATACGGTCCAAAATATAAATACTGACTTACTTCAGTGTGAGCTTGATGTTGCACGTGGAGCAGGAGAAGCAATTCACACACCAGGCCTTGTTAAGAGCTGATACCACTGCAAAAGCAAAAGCACAAAATAAGAGGAAACTGATGAATTATTTGAATTTGGATTTGTACCCAAATTCAAATGAGGCCAGATGTGAAAAGAAATACTGGTGCCTTGGAACTGTGGGACTGCAACAGCTGCACTAACAAATGGAACAAGCACAGCAACCCAAATCAAGGAGAGAACAAATCTTACCATCTCCCTCTATCACATGGCTGCAGTTGTAGCAGACATCTCCAAAGAGCTGCACAGAAAAATAAATAAGAACAGGTACTCAGGCTACTGACTACTCATGCTCCCCAATACACAGCTGGTGTGAACATTAAATCCTAACAAAGAATTCCCAGACATTGCAATAGCCCCCCAAATATACCAATTTACATCTTCTGAGTAACTTCTCATACACTTGCCAAATAGTCTATGTTCCTTTGGCTCTCATACCACTAAATACTACAAAACCTTTTTTGTTGATGCCTCACACTCTACCACTGTTATGTGATCTTAGTCCTGTACATGTGGCAATTTGGAGAAAAGAGGATCGGTAGTGTATGACGCTTACTGTAGACAAACATCTCCTGATGCTTAACTATAAACATCAAAATAAAACATAGCGCTACTTTTGAAACAGTACCACTTATCTCTTACAAGAGAGACTAATTGATCTGACACGAAAATATCAAACTCATAGCTGTTGAGTCATACAGAAAAAACAGGGTTTGATTGGCTTTTGAAACATACTTTTCTTATGCTTTAGACAGCACAACATTTATCTTAGCCCCATGGAAGCAAGTAATTATCAGAGAAGTCCACACAAACAGTTTTGGAGTAGAATTACAGGGATTTTAATCACAACACACGGTCAGTGGTTTTTTTCTGTCAATGGCACAAAGAAAAATCAATATTCCCAAGACATTTCTATTCTGTTCTCAGCATCACTTTTCAGATCTACCAAGAAAAATTATTTTTTTAAACTTTTCTGTTAAATCTCACAAATTTCTTAATATGGCATTGTCTCTACAAACTCATATTATGCAAAATCTGCATAGATTTGCATATGTAAAATGCAAAGAAGCATTTATCAGTCAGAGAAAGTATGCACAGTATGGATCGCAGAATTTACCTGGTTGTAGTGAGTTTCACAATAAGCCAGTCCTTTTTTCTCATAGTGTCGGTGCCCCAAAAATGGCTTCTCACATTTGGCACAAACAAAATGCTTTAAAAGAAAAAAAGACATTCAGTGGCAGGCAAAGCAACTTTTCCATCGCAAGGGAAAAACTTGCATGGCTACAAATCATGGCTCAATATGAGACACTTAATCATAGAACGGTTTGGGTTGGAAGGGACCTTAACGATTATCTCATTCCAACGCCCCTGCCATGGGCAGGGACACCTTCCACTAGACCAGGTTGCTCAAAGCCCCATCCAGCCTGGCCTTGAACACTGCCAAGGAGTAGCCATTCACAGTTTCTCTGGGCAACCTGTTCCAGTGCTTCACCACCCTCACAGTAAAGAATTTCCTCCTACAATCTCATGTAAATCTACCCTCTTTCAGTTTGAAACTGTTACCCCTTAATGCTTTAATGAAACTCAGACAGGAAAATCCTTATGGAAGTAAAGAAAAGAGGAAATACTTAAGTCTACTACAGTAATTAAGAATTGTATTAAACATAGGTAGGAGGCCTGCTGAAAGGGCAATCACCTTGTGCCTATACTGACAGATTTGCAGACTATGACCTTCCTTGTTTCAGAGAAGAGAAACAGGAACATAAGACATAGTTGGTATGAATGCACTTCAAATGAGCAGCATCATCTCTCTCAGTTCAAGCCCTAGGAGGCTTAAATCACTAAACACAAATCACTAAAAAACTTCACAGCAAGCTATGACAACTCAGCTGAAGGTTACAGAAACAATGAGCTGAAAAGGCTTAAAAAGCAAGAATTGCATTGGCTCTGCCTACATTACAAATTCTAACACTGTCATGAACCCGTTATCTGGGGTTGGAGAGGATACATCTAAGTACATCACATCAAATACGTAAATTTATTAGTAAGTAAATGCTGTTCAGTGAACCATCTCCTGCAAAATCCTTATAATGCAACTCAGGCATTTTAAAATCAATGTTATTACTGTTGTGAAAGCATAGCTTGCATAGGCAACCTTGATGACCCTGCTGTACTCATTCACTCACATAAGGTAAAGACAATCTGAAACATAAGAAACTGTTTTTTGTCTGAATTAATATATTCCAGAACACGTAAATGTCTACAGCTTCCAACAAGCACTAGTCTTCTTCCAATATGGCTCATGAAGGAAGTTTCAGATTCAGAGAGGCCTCACCTCAACATGCCATTGCTTTCCCAGAGCATTGACCACACGTCCCTCAATGGGCCTGCGGCAGGCTCCACAGATGGGGATTCCCATCTTGTCATGGCAAGGCAGGCAATACAGTTCTCCCTTCAGTTCCCGGGCCTCAGCAGTCAGCTCCTTCCTGAAAACACAAACATGTCCCTGAATTAGAACATCAAGTGGGCTCTTTAAACTCAAGACGAAGTTTTGCAAGACTAAACTTGAAAGTTACTTTGGCAACATTCATGCTACAAATGTAGTCATTAAATTAAGCTAATGAAATACTATTGTCAACTCATCTTTCTAAAATTACTTTCTCAGTTTGCCAGACAAGAGAACATATGTGGAATATCATGTCTCCTGCTAGATACTCTGGCAGAAATATGAGGTGCACTTAAATGGAACAATGCAGTTATCATGCAGAGACTTAAGCTATGTTTCAATGGGATAGCTCAGGCACAAGGACCATCCTAGTAGTGCTCAGCACTGAGCCACTTAATTTATTCTTCAGCGCTGTTATCCATTCTAGGGCAGGACAGTACTCCAATTATACTGCTGTCATGGTAAGTAATTCAGGTCAGACAGGTATCAGCAGGGTAATGGACTGTGCCAGAAGACTGACACAGCTCACCAAGTCATCTTTTTTTTTTTTCTATTTAGGAACTCAAAGTGAAACTATTTTGAATAGCCTAGCAACAGCTATCTTTGAACAACACTATTACAGTAATCTGCATACAGCCTTTCAGGTAAGTTTATACCAAGGTACTATTTTAATTTTCAGTACAAAATAGTGTCATTCAAGTTTAGGATAAAAGAACATTGAATGGCAAAATAAAAAGAAAGCTGGTTGTCTCTCTCCTTTTTCATCAGAGTTTAGAATATGAGAACATACCCACAGTGGGTGCAGTTGAAGTGATCTGGATGGTAGGAATCATTCCTAAACATCAGAGGCTGCTCATCAATTATCAAGTGGCACTTCTGACAGATGTACTTGCCCAGTCCCTTAGCTTTTTCACGGTTATGACATGGCCTGCACAGATGCCTGGTTGAACAGAGTAAAGAAAATATAATATTAAGAAATTCTTTCTCCTAAAACAACATACAGTGCATGCTGTAGGATATACTTCTTAGTCTTCTGAGGTCAGACTAAACATAACTTAGTTTAGCATCCTGTCTTTCAAACCAGTTGCACAGAAAAGAGTACGTGGATAGAGTAGTCAAAGGTTGCATTTCCTTAGAATACTCCTCCAGCATTCACTGATTTGTATCCCATCAGGGATGTCACCCTGTTATTCTTCTAGGTATCCTTTCCAGTTCTAGACCCTTTTTGCGAGGTGGGCAAGGAAAAGTGGCAACACCCTCTCTCTATTACTAACTATGGGATCCAGCCATAACAGAGGCATTACAGGACTGGGAAGGAGTCAAAGAGAGAGAATAAAAAAGTATCAAACCAAAGCACATTGCTCGAATGCCTTTACAGTGGCTGGATTTCTTAGTCTTCCATAGCTAGGACAAAAGAGAGACCACTGAATACTAGCTCTTCTGCCTACAAATTCCTTTTAGTCCTAAGTTAAAGAAAATAAAGAACTATGCAAATTTGCAATTGTATGTGGTAAATGTAACTGTGTTCCTATCACACGTTCTAGAACATATTACAAGTACAGTCCTGAACATTTAGACAAGCCAAATTTCTGGTAGAAAAGCCTGGGCAAAGGCATAAAAAATTTCTGTAAAGGCTGATGGAATCCACCAATTTTATCCCAATATTTAGGAGCTGTGAGGAGAAGCTATTCAGTTTACTTGCCTATTATTTAACCCCCTAGCTGCAATGCTGCAGGCTGGGAAGAATTTATGGTAAAATGAAAATGACAAAGGAATGATTTCTGCGCGTTTCTTTGTCACTAACCAGACAAGCCTGCTTAATTCTTTTCACTGTATCACTATGTGAAACACTCACTGAGATTTATAGGTCATTCTCAAAAGACACCAGACAAAAGGAAAAGTTCAAATGAAAAGGGTAGATTTATAGCTGAAGTAGTGGGTTATACTCACAGGGCCCCTTCCAAAATTCTGCTGTGATGTATCACTTACCCTTAGATCTGTAAAATGGGGATAAGAATACAACACAGATGTTGTGAGACCTCAAACATTTACGACCTTCAGCTGGCAGGCGCCTGTCTAAGTGCTAGGTATCATTATTATTCTCTCCAAATCTGAGTCTTTCTGTCAGCAAGTGTCTCTCTCCAGGGCTGGAACTACTGTCTGCCCAGACGGAGTCCAGAAAAAGCAAACAGCACCCCATTATAAGGAAACATGCAGCTGTGCTCATCTCAGCATAAAGGCATCAATTTTATTCAGCACTGTCAAATGTGGAGTAATTATACATGGCAGGACATAGGGACCCTGAAGCAAGTGTCCTGAAAGAGACCCCTCTCAGTCAGCTGAATAAGATCCCTTCAGCCATTTATACTGATAAACCATTATCAACCCCTCCACACTCATAAACCCTCTCTGCCATTCCATAGACCCTCCTCTATTGCAAGCAAAGGGAAGTGTTGGACAGGCTAAGCTGTTACCATAGCAGCCGCCCCTCTCCCCCTCCCCACTCCCACCATTATGGAATTATCCCATTCTGAACTGTCCTGTTGTGTCTATTAATACCAGACCTCCCCCAAACAATGCTTCTCTCCAGCCTCCTAAAATAATCAGGGGACTCCAAGAAGTCTGTGTCCACGGCTGGGAGTTCAGTAGCAGCCTTTAGTAAGCACCATGAACACTGGAATATTCATACAGTATATTCATATCTATAAAAGCAGTAGCAACCCCAGTGCCAAGAGCTCAGCCAGGATGAAGACTGCTCTTCAGTGCTGGTGTGTCCTCTCCCCTCAGTTGTGTGACTGAGCTGATAATGCACTATCAGAGCTAGAAGTACACTATATAGAGGAGGTCCCCTCCCCACCCTCAGCAGCTCTGCAACTGTGTGCTCTTTTTGGATCATCCTGTTTTCACCGTTGCTGCTTCTATTTGGTTTGCTGTCATCAGAAGGAGTTCCTTGAGATTCTCCCCAAAAGGACCCTATACTCCACCCATAGGACTGCACCGTAAAGAGGTAAGAGACAAACTTCTGTTAACAGAATAATGAAGGAGCTTTCCTAATGGTGTTTAGTTTTAGCTGGTGTCAGTAAGGTGCACACAGAGGAATATAACGGAAATGTCTGAAACTAAGAACAGGCAGCATTTTTTGAACTTCAAAGAATAATTTCCTCACTTTTCTTTACATCATTCCTCCAAAACATAGAATTTTTCAAACTTCTGTACCTAATGTACATGTGCCAGGAAAAATGGCAGTTATATGGTATGTCCAGTGCTCTTTGACACTGTTTTGATGCTCACAAGAAACAAGTATTTCAGCTGAAGGCTGGGAGGCTCAGCAGGGAGTGATTTTCAGGAGAATCATTTCAGTCAGAAGTGGACCATTTCTAATGAAGAGTACTTTCACTTAAAGACAGGAGACACTCCCATTTGACAAGATGCTACAACCATAATAATGAAAACCACAAACTAATCCCAAACCAGAAACTGCTCTAGCTGAGAGCAAGAACAGGAATTTATGATAGCCACTACAAACCCTAACATATGGTTCGAGTTTATCTGCAGTGAGAATTATAACAAAAGCACCAAACTAGCCAGGTAGCTAACTTACGATGAGCTAAATATTTCTTCTGTTTATTAATTGTTTCATTAATGATGGATAGAGCATCTGCCGAAAAAATGACCAGGTTGTGTCTATACGTCAGCCGTGTGGATTGTTACCTTGCTTGTTTCTGAGCAGAAGAGAAACAAGGCATAAAATATGATCAGCATGCATGCATTTCAAATGAGCATTGACATAATCATCATAGCTCAGCCCTGGGAGGCCTGGGATAATGGCTCATTCCGGAATAGTGCTCTGTTTAGCAATACGTAAATTGCTAAACGTTCGCACCAAGAGCACAATCCAAGTGGAAATTACTGGACAATGAGCCAGACTCCTAAAGGAGTTTTCTGTCTGTGGAGTCAAAGCGTCTCGCACCATATAGCTTAGCACAAACTACACATTCTAGGTCATTTTGGAAGGTTTCTAGTTTGCTCTTAGCATTCATACAGACTACTACAACAAGCTTTCTAAGACTTTCAGAGCTTTTTTTGTAAGCATAACAAACCAAAATGAAAGAAAAAAACTAAAAAATTAAACATATTTATTTTAAATCAATAGGATAAAACCAGGCAAAATAGAAGTGGAACTGTAAATCAAAGCAAAGGGCTTTCCACACTGTCTACAGAACACAGTCAAAGAACTATTACTTCTGTAAAGTTGTAGCATTTTGTTGAAAACCTATCAATTCTAAAAATAAGCTCAACAATTAATTGTAGTGACATGTCAGCTTTTTTTCCTAACCTACTCAAGTGCTACACCACAATTTTCACATCAACAAACAGAATTGTAAAAAAACCCCAAAACTTGGATTAAAATTCCCTTCTAATTTAAAACCTAAGCAAAATTAGAAAGAGGCACACTTCCCTTTTCTATGATTTCTGACCAGGCAATGAAAAATACTTCTCTTCACCTTGCTCTAAAAAGTAAATTGTGTAACAGCAGCTCTCCTATGAAGGCACTCATTTGAAAAGACTGAATCTATTTCAATTTCATCATTAGTTCTAAGCCTCTCCTTTCCTGTCACTGACATATTTGGCTTCTAGATTGCTCTGACATTCCTCTT